TGCAGACACAATCCTATAATTATAATCATATACTATGAATTCAAATTAATGTCCTTGTTTTCAGTTACCCATGTCAAATCATTCACTAAATGACAAAGAGGAAAAAATGTGTGGTTCCAATTCATCTAAAATTGAACATCATATAATATAGCCAAACCTAACAAGAAATATCGTAGTCCCATATATTAATTTGGCCCACCATAGATTATCTTACGTCATAAATATTATTGACTTATCATCACTTATTTGAGAACATGTTTAACGTGGGTACAACAAAGGCATTAAATTTGCCTTAGAAAATTAAGGGGAGAAAGTATAGAAAAATTTAGTGATTAATTATTGGTAATTACCAAGTTGACGTTCTTTCTAAAAATAGTTGGAATTTTCTCATCCCAACGTAGAATTAAGAATTGATAAAATTTTACTAAAGTTGCTTAGGGAGTTAGCTAACTTAAGATTGCTTCAACCAAAATACGCTTAACTTGAAGTTGAAGTTCTAATGATTGAGTCATGAAAAACAAAAAAAATATGTACAAATAAGTTACTATCAAATTCTTAATCATATTTTCATGATCTCAAATTCCCTTCATTCAAAGATTAGGTCTCGATTTCTCAAGAGTGGAAGTAATAGAAAAATTATACGAATTTCTTCTTCCTTTCTGTATTTATAGGAAAATAAATAATCAACTATTAACCCACTAGTTTAATCACTAAGCTACTAAGCCCTACGAGCTTTTTTCAGCTTACATTCATTCACTCCAACTATTAATTAATTAACAATCAACAATAAAATTAACCATCAAATATAACTCTTAAAATATTGGAAATACTAACACATGTTTATACTCATCCTTAACATGGTTACTTTCTTATCCCCACAATAAATTGCTTGGACATAAAAGGAAAATTGGAGATTTTATTCCACTGTAGAAATCAACATTTTAAACTTAAAACACATTTTTTTAGAAGGCAAATTTCAACTTAAATAGATAAGATCTCCACAAAACCTTGAATTATATCATCTAACTACGAGAGTGATAATAATAATAATAATAATAAAACCCTTCCTTCAAACCTCTAAATTTAATATTCCTAGAATTAGTATACCAAATCTATGCCCCAAATGTCCCCTAAAAATTTAGTCTATGAACTTACAAGCTTCTCTCCATAAATTGAAATGCTTAAAATCTTTCCCTAAATTTCTAAGGGAGTGTATGGATCGGATATATACCTTCTCTCTATACCTAAAAGTTTAAAAGGATAGTGATATATACACATACATACATTTAACATGTCTCCCTGTTATCGTAAAATCTATGTTTGAGTTGTACGAAGAAAACAAGTTATAAATTTAAATAATTTGAATTTTGATAGATTKTGTTTAATTATTAATTTTATAAGTTAAATTTGTAATAAAAGATTCAAGTAACATAGGTTTAAGTTAATCCAGAAGATTAGGCAAACTTGGAATATAGAAAAATCAAACCGTACCCTCATATTAAACACAATTCTCTTGGATTCTTTACTCGAAGCTACACCAAACCAAGCCTAATTAATCCGCACTACAATATTGATTGTCTTGTCTTTTATTTGTTCTTTGTTGTAATGATTGGCTGTCTGTACATAGATAGGCCAACTAATGTAGAAAATTGATGAATGTCGTTAACGTAGCATTGATTCTCTTGCTCAATGAAATCATAAATCGATGAATGTTGTTAAACGTAGCATTGATTTTCTTGCTATATGAAATCTTCAAAAGAGAAATATTGATAATCCATGTAAATAAATTAAATTTATTCAATCTATCAACTTGAGCTTTTAGATTGAGTAGCGGTTTATTCATCCTTAATAAAAAGTGAGAAGCCGAGCCAATATGATTTTCACTTCTGGGACAACTTTATTTATGAGTTGGATCCTTATTCAATTGCCAATATTTTAACCAAATTTTTTTTTTTAATATTTGTAGCCTTTGATATCTTGTTAAAGACAACTATTTATTTTTTTCGAAAAGGTTGTTAGAGGCATCTTCAATTGGTGATTTAAGCATTTGTACTCATCAATTGAAGCTGAGCCAATAGATTTTCACCAATGGAACAACCTTATTTATGAATTGGATCCCTATTTAATGGCCAATATTTTAAGCCTTTGTATTGATTCATTGAAACTGAGCCAATAGATTTCACCAATGGGACAACCTTATTTACGAGTTCATCCTCAATTGCCAATATTTCAACCTTATTTTTTTTTTCCAATATTTGTAGTCTTTGATATCTTGTTAAAGACAAGTACTTTTTTTTTTCCTTTTTTGAAGGGTTATTAAAGGCATCGCAGTCGATGATTTAAGCCTTTTTTATTATCAATCGAAGCATTGTTCTACTCCAATCACAAGATTCGAATCTCCCGTATAACTTACAACGCTAACAAATTTGGTAAACATTTTTCAGTCGAGATCAGTCTCTCCTTGATGGAAAGAATTAAAGTATAGTTGTAGATATACTACACCCTCTAAAATATAGACCCTTTAATTGCAAAAGCCACTTTTTTCAATAGGCCTAATCATATTTGAGATGAAATAAAATGCTTGAGTTATCCAACTTCCTCTTCAACAACAACCTTGCTCCTCTCTGTTAAACATAGCCATTATTCCAACATTTTTATTCACAGCTAGGCAAATGAAGAAATAGATAGCATACACATGCTAGAAAAACAGTAAAAGTTTTTGACCACATTATATACATAGGTTAGGCTAAATATATATATTTTAGTTTTCAACTTAGTTTTATGAAAAGGTTTTATCTTATGTTTTTTAACACTTTTCAATTACACCATTTCCAGTTATGAATGTTGAAGTTGTCTAATAATAAGGTTAGAAAGTTAGATGATATGATACTTTAGCAAATTGACATATAAATTTAAACGAATAATTTCTACCGATTTCTTAAAAATTTAGAAGAGATTAAATTAGAAACCTCTCTTCCAGCTTACGTTGCTGCGCTTAGCTTTCATTATGTCAATCAGAGGTGACTTGGCCCGTTTTGTCCATCACCAATTGAAGCAACACGTGTTTGACCAGGCAGCTCCAATTCCACCTACAACATTTATTTTGCTACTTTTATGTTTTGTTTTTAATTCTGTTTTGTTGTACTATTTTCTACTGGCTTTCTTTCACACCTAACTAATAGCATTAATAGGTTTTTTTTTAAAGGTCTAATTATCTTCACCCTTTTCCTTGAAGAATTGTAACTATTTCTAACAGGGTCGAAATTAGCAATATTAAAAGCCTTCGTTAAACCCTTCATATCATAGAAACCTTCGTTTATCAATTATAAGATTGATGTGCATAACCAAAACATTGTCATATATTCATTATTATTTTTTTTTTGACGAGAATTTGATGGAACACCTTATTTGATGGGTGGTTTTGAATAGATTGGGTGATTCATAAATAGATAGAACTAATCCACCTACTAGAATTAATTTYATATCATTGGATATGTATATGTAACAGCCACATATATACCAGATAAGCTAGATACATAGCATTTAAATCTTGTGAAGTTAAATTTTGTTTTCAAATAGTAATTAAATTGTGGCTAAAGATATAACCATTTTCAATTCATGCATTGTTATAGATGTGTAGTCAAATTCAATGCGCGGTTCAACATAGAACAAATTAATCGTTTTTGTGCTGATACATCACCTCAACTGTACTGATATATATGGTGGAATCCTTAATTACTGAAAACAAATTTGTCTCTTTTAATTTGGACGCTAGTCTCTGCAAATCAGACTATTCAATCAAACTTTATTAACAGAAAAGGCCCTAAAAGTACAGGGGTGGTTTCATGAAAAAAAGATGGCCGTATAGTTAAATTATTGTTTTATTTACATATTTGAATCTATTATTATGACCACTCGGATGCTGATTTTGAGACATAAAACCCTAACCCGGGTTGTCTTTTTGGTTGAAATGGGATGGTGGATCTGGTTTTCATCATTTGCGCTTAAATAAAAAAAAGGAAAGAAGAGAGTTTGACTGCGGTGCCTCACTTGAACAAATGTGATTAAAGTCCCACATTTGTTAGATAAGAAGATCGAAGATCTCATTAGTATACGAGTGAGGAACAACATCTCCATTGGTGTAAAACGCGCGTTTTGAGTGACACTAAAAGCAAAACCATGCTATAAGGACTTATGCGTAAAGTGAACAATATCATATACCAATGTATGGTGGACAAAATCTACTTTTGTTAGACGGATGAATGACTATTTGAGAGGTGTCAACTAACAAAAGTTAATAATATATTTGGTTTTGAGATGGAGACAAGATTGATGAGTCCAAAGAACCACATGGGGTTATGTCTAAAGCGGGGTCATTGTCTTGAACCATTTTTTTTATTTTTTTTTATTTGGTATGTTGACACGCATGTCAGGTTAGTAAAACAACCATTAAATGACACATAAATTTTTTATTAACTAGTTTTAAACGATAAAATTGTTAACATATTAAACATAAAATTCAAAAGTTTTAAACGATAAAATAACTAAATTGAGAAAAATCTAAAAGAGCTGGACCACATATATATTTTGCCTCCATTTTATAAGTTACGTGTCCTTTAATTCTATCAACGAATTAATGCTGGCGACGAAGCTATTAAATTAGACCTAGATTGATTTGACACAAATGTAGTGGCATAAAATAAACAATAAGATAATAGCCAAAGAAATATACTCTTGGAATTTGTGTCTCAAAAAAGAAACAAAAAAAATTGAATTTTCAAACTCTCCCAAAAACAAGGAGGAACACGTCGATTTTGAAGGGTTTCAAAAACGCACGTGTGATAGAATTTAGATACATTAATTTAATTAAATTTTTTTCTGTCAATTTTCAGATGATTTTGCGACTATAAAATGGGAAGATTCAGTAGCTCACAAACCATCAAGATCAATCCTTCCTTGTTCTAACTTCCAAAGAACCTCCCTCATTTGTAATGTTCAACTCTTTTTAACTTTTTTCTTTTTTCATCTTTCAGTTATTTCTTTGATTTTTTAGAACTTTTGTTTTTCTAATTACTTTTTGCAGGCACTGAATCAACACACATCTTTCATTAATGGAGATTCTTGAAGATTCAACAACTCCCATGAGCCCTTTGAGCCAATACTTCAACACCTCTGAAATGTGTGTTTCTGTTTTGGGAGTCCTCGAACTCGAATCTCCGATCTCTCCCCCTGACGCCATTTCAATTGTAACTGATGTTCTCCTCCCTGCCAACCCACGCTTTACTTCAATCATGGTACCTCCACTCTGCTCTAAAAATACGAATAAAAAGTTAAAATTACTCATTCAAACTACTGTAATGTCATTTTCTCTCCAATCAACAGGTAAAAGAGAAGTCAACGGGAGAAAGAAAGTGGAAGACAGCTGAAGTTAACCCAAGAGACCACATTTACGTACCGACTTTTCCAAACGACCTCTCGCCTTATGAATACGATGCTTACTTCGACGAATATGCCACGAAAACAGCCACTAAACCCTTCTCCCAAAGCATTCCTTTGTGGGAAATTCACGTTTTCAACTACCCTACAAGCCATGCAGCTTGTAGTATAATTTTCAAGGTTCATCACTCTATAGCCGATGGCTTCTGTCTTATGAACACTCTTTTATCTTGCCTTAAGAGAGCCGACGATCCTTCTCTTCCTCTCACGTTCCCGTCTCGAAAACACTCAAAACAACCCAAAAACGATGCTCGTTTTGGGCTCCTTAGCCATCTCCCTCGTCGAATCTCCTCCGTCGTATCAAACTTTGGATGGAGTGTGATGAAAAACACTTTTGTTGAAGACGACCCAACACCCATCAAGCCAGAAGGAGATTGCATGCAGCTTGTCAAGCCAATTGCCATATCCACCATGACCTTTTCCCTTGATCAAATCAAACAAATCAAGAACAACCTTAACGTGGTATATATATTACTTAATTATTTACTTATAAGGTCGTGATATATTTTGATATCTTTTTCTAATAATCAATATAGGATCAAGATTAAAAATATACCATCGAGATATATATATTTTGATTTGACAGTTTGATATGATCAACCAATACTTGTGTCATGTAAATATCAATAAAACATACAAAAAAAAAGTATCAATAAAAAGTTACCAATAGAAATACTAACAATTATAAGATGGTTAAATTTCAAATTTAATTGGGTACGTATGGGTTGAGCTTAATTTTAGTCTACATAGTCTTCAGAGTTTCAATTTGATTTCTATGCATGAATCATCATTAAATTATCTCTTATCCACTTGAAAAACCAAATAATTTTTTCTTTATTGAAAACATTAACTTATAGTCATATGAAAATAAAATAAAAAATGTCACTTATTTAATATGGTAACAATAAAGCCAAATCGAGTTTAGCTCAAGTGGTTAAGACATCTATCTTTGACTAAAAGGTCACAAATTCAAACCTCCCCCCACAATGTTGTACTAAAACAAATGGTAGCAATAAAAAGATAATTTTTAAGGTTTGATTAAATTATATGAACTGCAAATTGGTAGATTCATGACTTATTTTCATAAGATTGATGAAACTTGTTCTAGCTATAGATCTCCATTCACATCGATATTTTAACCCTGGTGTGGAATTTTGGTTTTTTAACAGAGTATTAATGATGTCCTCACCGGAATCATATTCATCGGAGTTCGACTATACATGCAAGAACACAACCCTCAGTCAAGTGAGAAAAATTCAAGTGCATTGATTCTCCTCAATACTAGGAAGGCTAAGGCTTACAAATCAGTTAAAGAGATGCTCGAAACCGACACCGATGCGCCGTGGGGAAACCGAATCGCCTTCTTGCCAGTCCCAATACCTAAACTAATTGATTCTACCCTTTCAAATAACCCTTTGGAATTTGTCAAGGAAGCCAAAGAAAAAATCATGTTGCAGAGAAACACTCTCTCCGTTTTCATGGCTGCCAAAGTTTTTGATATAGTAAACCACGTGACAGGCCCTGAGGTGAATATTTAACTTAACCCATTTCAAATTTCTTATAATATCTCCAGCTGATTAAACATGGTAATTCAATTTAATTATGATGATATCAATAATATAATGCTAATTAACTGTGTGCTAGGTTGGAGCAAAGTTGTTCAAAAGGAAGCTCAAGAATTCAAGCATCATGATATCAAGTATGATTGGGCCTTTGGAGAAAATGGCTTTGGCCAATCGTCCTGTTAAAGGCTTATACTTCACTGTCCCAGGCATGCCTCAGGTATCCAATCACAACTATTTTCTCACCAAGCTTAAGAGGGTGTAAGGGCAAGAATTTGTATTTCCACGTTTTCATCAAACAAACTCATGGGTTTCAACAGTATCCTAAACCTACTCCCTTCAAATCCTCTCAAGATCATGGGATCGGATACTCGTTTGAACTTTTGGGTTCTGATACCATATTAATATTCATCGAGTTCCTTCTAGAAGATGAGTAGTCCATGTCTATTATAAACTATTGTTAGGTCTCTTATTTTTTCAATGTGAGATACTTAACCGTGTGTGTATATATTTAACGTGTATCTGATTTATTTGTTTGTAGAGTCTACTTATAACAATTGTGAGTTACATGGGAGACTTGAGGATTGTATTTGGAGGTGAGAAGTGCTTCATAGATCAACAGAAATTGAAAGTATGTATTGAGGATGCCTTCAAAAGGACACTGATGAAAGCTGCTAAAAGAAGTTCGATCTAATTTTCGAAGCTGCTTCAAGACGTTTTTACTCAGATATTTATGTATTTCAATTCCACCAAAAGTGCGTGCTTGTGAGACATTATGTTCAATTTGGTTTGTAGTACTAAATTACAAAGTTAATGTAATAATTTTTTACCTATTTCTATATAGGTAATTTTTTTAACTTAATAAATCAATTACTAGCTATGGTAAATCAACCATTAAGTTGAATTTTTTCTTTTTAGTACAATATATAGGGTAGGAATTGAACTCAACATATTAGTTTGAAATATATGTCAATCACTGCTAAATTATGTTCGATTTTTGGCCCATTAAGTCAAAATTTGATTAGGTTAGATTGCTAAATACCGATTAACTCACTTTTATTTTTAAAAGTCATATCAATTAAATCCCAAGACATGAATCTTGTGGTATCACTTACCTATGAAATCTTGTGTTCAAATTTATTGGTGAATTTAATACAAAAAAATCTTTGATGTCTCTTGAATTTGGGTCTTGACCGAATAGACGTAGGTGTCCGATGATAGGTGTTAAAAACTAGAAACCTACCAATTCTAGATTATATATTAAAAGAAAAAGTCCCATCAATTACTAAACATCAATCAATTAAGCTAAAAATTAGCAGTAGAAGGTGTGGAAGGTTAACAGGGTTGGAAAGAAAAAATCTCCTCTTGGGGAATGGGAGTTCTTATGCAATTTTATTCGAGTTTCATCAAATCTTGATTTTTTTAAATTAAATATGCAATATTATGTCGGGATTATGTAAATTTAGATTGGTGGAGGGAATCAAAGGAGCCATGCTTTTTTGAAAAATGGAAATATTTTGATAATTCTACAAAAGCAAAAAGTAAAAAGAGGTAAAATTTTTTAAGAAAATAGATCAAAAGTTTCAAATATAATTAAAAAAAAAAAACGGTTAAAAGTCTCAATTTTCCAGTTTTGGCAGATTGAATTGACATAAGCCGGATCATAATTAAAGAGCCTTGAGAATTTCCATCAAGAAAGGAAGCAGAAATAAAGTAATATTATTGGATTGGACTGACTTACTTGCACACCGGACAGGAACAAAGGAGTTGATAATGCGGTATAATAAATATGGGTCAGATCACAAGATTTTAAAATTCTGTATCCATATTTTTGAGGTGTCTGTGACAAAATTAATTGATAATGAAACTTTATTTTTTCAAATTGAGATTCTTAGACATGTCGTGATGCTTCGTTTGGGTTATCAATTTTAATTGGATTTTCTTTTTATCGAATAATTATTTTAATTTTTTTGACCTTGATATCATATCAATATTCATAAGGTTTCGTCTCAAAACGAATTAGTTTTGAGATAAAACCAATGAATATTAATATATTAAATATGATTGCTTTTTTTTAAAATAAAAAAATAAAAAATAAAAACAGGAATCATCATCAAGTTCTAATTTATTAAATTTTCATCGACATGTTGATATTTATCAATATTCATGGGTTCCATCTCAAAACCAAAAAGATCGTGGTTCTTTTTGACTCATTGATCTTGACCGGATTCCATTTTTTGACTGGTTGCTCAAACAATATATAAAATTTCAACACCCCATGAGATAAACTTGTATAAGGTCTTTTCTTTTATCGATGTGGATCTTAGTAATATTTTTACTATCATATTTTTCATATATTTATTAATTTGACATTGTGAAAAGCCTCCTTGTTAATTTAAATATTTAATTTTTATAATTTTCTCAAAAGAATTATGAATATTTTCATTTACATTTTCATAAAATTCGAACTCCCAACGACATTGAAATTTGAACCTAACTACTGCCTTTTATGTCGGGTCTATGGTTGATTTCGTCGTTTTCACATTAAAAACCTGCTTCCTCTGCTCTCCACAGCAGTTGTGGTACAATTACACTAGAGTCCAAGAAATCTCCCCATTCATATGAGCTCTACTCCCAAAGTTGTACGTACAAGAGAGATGTTAAATACTAGTAAAATATTTGATGGATATAAGTTTATAATATAAGTTGATTATTTTTTTCTAGTCAATTAATTTTAAAATGAAACTCTATAAATATTAATATGATATCAGATTCTAAAAGTTCAAATGAACATCTAGTCCAAAAATGAGATTAAATCAAAATCGATGAGCCAAAAAGAGTCACGATCTTGAAGATGCATGTTAAGAATTTAGGTTTATAATATAAGTGAGATTAGTTTTGAGATGAAACTCTATGAATATTAATATGGTATTAGAGCTCAAAAGCTCAAATGAGTATCTGGTCCAAAAATAGGATCCGACCAAATTCTATGAGCTAAAAAGTGCCACAATCTTGAAGATGCATGTTAAGGATCTAGGTTCATAATATAAGTGGGTTACTTCTCTCATAGCTAATTGGTTTTGATCAGATGGAACCCCATGAATGGTATTAAAGCTTAAAAGGTCAAAACGAGCCTTCGACCAAAAAATGGAACAAAATCGATGAGCCAAAAGAGTCACGATCTTGAAGAGGAATGTTAAGGATCCAGATGTATAATAAAAGCTAGTTACTCCTCTTATAGCCAATTGATTTTGAGATGGAACTCATGAATATTAATATGATATCAGAGTATAAAAGCTCAAACGAACATCTGGTCCAAAAATGGGATCCAACCAATATCGATAAGTCAAAAAGCCACGATCTTGAAGATACATGTTAAGGATCCAGATCTATAATTTGTAATTTGAACTTTGATATATTTAAATACATGTATATATTTAATTAATGACAAGAAAAATAAATATTAAGAGTACCTGAGGTAAGCCAGCCACATAGACAATAGATTCCTTCTACAGAGTGACCCATCAAAGCCATTTTCTCATTTGGCCCAATCATATTTGAAATTATTACGCTTGAATTTTTCATTGTCTCGTAGCATATTTGGCTCCTTTCCTAAAACAAACAAATGGGCGGACATGTCAATATTTTCATCGATAATTTTATACATCTATCAATTCAATATAAGTCAATATGACTTAGGTGAAATTGTTGAAACTGTGAATCAACATTTTACTGAAAAAAAAAGATAAAATAAAAAAATATCAATAAAATATCATTCTAGATGTAAATATTAATATTATAATTTTTAACTCATCCAAAAAAAGTGGAATATTTATTGGTTAATTTAAATGTTTGTTATGATTTTTATTTTTATAAACTCTGGTTAGGTCTTTATCAGATGATAATTATCATATGGTATCCTTAACATGTCCTTCAAAATAGTGCTTATTTTGGGTTCACCAATTTTGTGTCGGATCCCATTTTTGGACTCGTTTGACTTTTTTGGTGTTTGATACCATATTAATATTCATGAGTTCTATTTCTAAACCAGTTGGCTCTTTACACTTACCATCCCATGAAATATCATAGTCCAAAACACTCAAACAAGCATCCAGTTCAAAAATGGAATCCGACCAAGATCGACAAGTCAAAAGAGCAACGATCTTGAGAGGGTAGATTAAGGATAAGATACTTAACAAAATTTATAATATACATGGACTACTGCTCCCATTGTCAATTGATTTTGAGATGGAACTGATGGATCTTGATAAACACTCAACTTTACCATCAACAATTTGCTTGATATATTGGCACAACTGCGTGATAAAAAGTTTTTGTTGCGTTAAAATTTTGTAAATAAGGACAAAAACGATTACTTTTAAAGACAAAACCGACGGTGAAAGCAATCAAGTACCAGCAATCATACCACTTTTAAGTTTGGATTTGATTTGTTTGAGTTGATGAAGAGAGAATGATATTGACCAAATTGCAATTGGCCGAAACTGCACTCCATGATCACCACCCGATCTTATGGGTGTCAAGTCATCTTCAAGAACACTGCTTTTGATTATGCTCCATCCAAAATCCGTTACGCTGTTCATAGCCGAAGACAAAATTCGAGACATGCGATTTAGAATATGGCCTGATGATTTCTCAGAGAATTTCCTCGAAGGAAATGTTAATGGAATGAAGGATCATCTGTCCTTTTAAAGCAAGTAAACAGAAGACTCATAAGAGAATAGCCATCGCCAAGTGAGTGGTGAAACTTGAAAACTATGATTCCAGCTACATTACTCGAGGGATACTGAATTACATGAATTTCCCACAATGGTCTATTTTGGGGTAGCTGTTGTAGAGCCAAATCTGTCATATACTCGTCGAAATATGCATCAAAGAGTTCAAATTCAAGCGACCAATTTGATGGAAAAGTTGGCACGAAAACATGCTCTTCTGGATCCACTTCAACTTTCTTCCATTTTCTCTCCCCGTTTGTATCTTTCACCTGTTTCAAAACCCGAATTTTATGTATAAATCACCACTCAATCTAAAAGTTCTGATTTAATTCATATACGAAATATTTCAACATTCCTCCTTAGTCGTGGGCTTGAAAAATTGCAACAAAACCTAACAAGTGAAAATCATAATAAATGAGAAGGAAATAACAATTTTCAAAGGTTCAAATACAGAACCACCCACTTTGATATCATCCTAAAGATGAATAAACAACCACTAAATCCAGAAGCTCAAGTTGATGGGTTGGATAAATTTAACTCACAGCTCGATGGTAACTGGTATATATCTCTAATCAAGAAGTTGTGAGTTTCGATCCCTCACTCCCACATGTTGTACTAAAAAATTATATGGATATTTCAACAAACCATAGCGCTGGTTGGTGGGAAGGAGAGAACCAGTGATGATTGAAATGGCTTGGGATGGAGAGATTGAAGTTTGGAGTTCGAAAACACCCAAAATTGAAACAGACATTTGTGAGGTGTTGAAGTATTGGCTCATAGGGCTCATTGGGGGGACTGAACAATCTTCAAAAATCTCCATCTGCATATGCCTGCAAAAATGAATTATATTTGAAGAGAGATTATAATGGTTTATAATTAAGGACAAATTCATATTACGGTGAGAGTGGCGTTTTATAGGGCCAAAAAAAGGTGTTAGTTTAGTATTACACTACACGTACGCGCATGATCCTTCCTCTCTAACGGACCAATCATTCTTCAAAACTTTAGTCTCATGATACCTAATGAACTCGAAATATACCAAAAATATGTGTATAAGTAATGACCTTAGAATATCGATGCAGGAGAAAAGATGAGTTTAACAAAAAAAAAAAAAAAATTATAATATACGTGGGCTACGACATATTCATACCTAGATTTTCCACGATGGTGACGAAAGGTATAACATGTACAAAACCTTTCTTTTTTTTAATCGAATCTGGTCCATTTCTTAGTTGAGCTATCTACTTGTTTACTGACATTATTTATGGAACACCTCTAGTAGAAGGTTCAACTGTATTTCAATTTTAATTCAATCTTATATCAAAAAGATAGAGGAACGACTTGTCAAAAATTTATAATACATGGACTATTTCTGTTGTTGTTGGGTTTGTAAGAGGAATACAAACAAAGTTCTATCTTGGCTAGGAAAATCCATGATATATTAGATGAGGACAATTATTCCATTGGTATGAGATCTCCTGAAATCAAAAGTAAAGTCGTGAGGGTTAAGCTCAGACAATATCACACCATGAATACTAACAATGAAGAGTAGAACACCTAAATATTGTTGAAAATTTTATGCACTCTCTTCTCTTCCCATTTGTCAAAAATATATATTAAAAAACTTGAAATCCCTAAAATAAACTGCTGTCAAATGCAGACAAAAAAAAAGTTTTATTAAGTTTCAATTTTGTTCATATGATTTTAAAGTTTCAATTTGAACGGTATAATTTAGCTAAATCTCATGCACGGTACTTAAACCGAATCCACCGAAAATCCATTCATTTCCTCCTAATTTTTAATCAAATCTAACTTCTAATATAGTTACCTAACACACTAGCTACTGAAATTAGAAAAGTAAAATTAGCTTTATTACCCTATAAATTAAAAAAAAAACGTCACTATGCAGGACAACTCACGAGATTTAACCGAATCGTAGTGACCATAAACTAAACTAAAACCTTTTAAAATTAAAACAATAGAGTTAAAGAAATCTTCTTGTTCTGGTCTGTTATCTCTCCCTTTCCAAAGCTAAATGATAGAGAGAGTATATAAGTAAATGGTGCAACAAATGAATAAAGTAGCACATTTTAATATGCCTCACACAAAATGCAAAGTAGTAGGCAAATGCCTGCATAAAAAAAGGTTGGCTTTCTCATCCCACATGAGTACCTGCCAAATCTCCAAATTAAACACAAGAAAAGGGGCTAAAAATTAAAGTTTGGAACTTATTCTACCATAAAAGCAATCCCTATTCAATTTAAACATCATTAATTACTTTTTGAAAGTAGTGCAATTCTATATTTCTTCTCACCCACACTCTCTTTTTCATTTCTTTGATTAATCATTATATGCATACTATTTATGGCTGGAGTTCTCCTACATATTAGGAAGGAACTCTCCCCTTGGAATAATAGCAGAAATTGGGCCAATTAGGAGAGTAGTATATAGGGTTTAGTTTCTTGAAAAAATTAGCAAAAACATGTGCCTATACGTGTCTAACCAGCTCGCGGCGATTCTTATTCTATTGAAACTGTTAAAAGATCTCACATGTGTCGGTTAAGTTGTATAGGAACTCTCGGGTAATAACAAGTTCTTCATTGTTACTAAGAATAGAATAACCGCTTAGAATAACGACACAAATTATATTATTTGTCAAGAAGTGCAAAATTCTTATGGATATGATCCTAATTGTGCATCTTGATCAATTGGACAATTATATTATTTGTCAAGAAGTGCAAAATTCTTATGGATATGATCCTAATTGTGCATCTTGATCAATTGGATAGTTTCTCTGTAGATTTCAAGACATGCTTTTGTAGATGTGTTTCTGAGTATTTCGTATAGCATTTCGTCCAAGAGAAAAAGCTCATCTAATTCTTAGCGTTTCTTGTAATACCCTTTTCTGGAATATCATTAAAAAAAATCCAATTGTCTAGTATTTTCCACCCATTAGTAACCGAGATTCTAGGTTTTTATTAAATGGAAGAGTGATCCGCCGGAACAAAAATACTATAGATGCAAGATATAGAAGGGGAATGAATGCTTTCTTTTTTTGCCATTTTTTGGTGTTTTAATTTTTAAAGTTTTGGACTATGATACATGTCAATATTCGTGAGGTTCCATTTCGAAACCAATTGCCAATGATAAGAATTAGTCCATGTATATTATAAACCAAGTCCCTTTTATTTTCCTTAACATGCCCCTTGTGAGCTAATTGGGAAAGAGTCACGAACGTTGATGAGTATTTTTGCGGAGAGCAAAAATTAGAGGAACTAGTCACAGGGCCACTAAAATTAGATTTTTAGGTTTAATTTTTTGAATTAGGATTTTTAAGTGTGCAACTTTTTTCAATTAGGAAGGTTCAGGGGTTTAATTTTTACAAATTATAGTTTGGGTATGATTTTTCTACTTGAACTTGAATAATGCCCTTTGGTATTCTACGCATACTTTTACGTGAGCTAATACATCCGTTTTTACATGAACCGATTATTGGTATGGGTATGGCGAAACGGACTGATCTGGTCTTTCACAATAAAGTGATAGATGGAACTGTAAAATAAATCGGAGATATATGAATACATCCATGTCATGTCAAAACGGATCCTTTATTTATTTGTATGTATATATTGTGGGTGGCCCTTACAGTCTTTTTTTTTTTAATTTTTATAAAGATTATCCTTGTCTTTATTTACCATACAATTTATTAACGTGTCAAAGAAACATCTCATCTATATATTTAATAAATCCTTTTATATAAAAAATTTACATTATGTATTATCATAGTTGCTCACAACCAATGCAACAAAAAACTCACACAAAGCATATTCACAAACTCACATAATTTCTAATACAAACCAACAATGGACCTTATTATAGCTGTAAAATGACTTATCAAACCCTTATATTACAACATCAAATCACGAGTGGGTAGGGGCAACAACGGAAGAAGTTGAAGAAATCGGCGCCGACGCCGGAACCGCAGCAATACTAGCACCAAAACCACCTCCACCGCCACCGCCGCCGCCGCAGGGATGCTCAAAACAGTCCACCGGATTATCAACCACCGCACTGCATTCCTTCTTGCTCCTCTGCAGCGGCTTCTCCGGCAAACAGTTCCGGCGATCATCAACGGCCACGCCCTTCACCGTCAAGTTCCGGCAAATCCCCTCTTCCTCACAGAAGTAGTTGTAAGAAACCGTCACATTATCCAAATTTGGAAGATTACATAATCCTTCGTATAAATTCCCACTCAGCGAATTGTGGGCCAAATTCAACTGCTCCAAATGGGCCAGCCCAGCCAAACTATAAGGCAGCGGCCCAACTAATTTATTGAAACTCACATCCAAAACCCTCAATTTGTACAAAAACCCAACTTCTTGCGGCAAACAACCCGATAAATTGGTGTTCATCAACAGAAGTTCTTCCAAACTATTCGCGAAGCTCGCAATCGTCGGCGGAAGGCAGCCCCCAAAATTGTTATTCGCAAACACAATCACGGAGGCCGATTTTCCGCCGATGTTCTGAGGGATAATGCTGGTGAAACGGTTGCTGTTTATGAAAATGGCATCGAGGGTTCTGTTGAAAAGTTGAGGGGGAATAGGCCCTTCAAATTCGTTGAAACGGAGGTCGAGAAAGCTTAATTTGGGAAGGAGGAGGACGACTGAGGGAAAAGGGCCTACGAATCTGTTGTTGCTTAGATCAAGTTCGAAGAGAAGTGAGAGATTGGCCAAAGAATGAGGCAAAATCCCACAGAAACGGTTGCTGTTGAGATGGAGCAGAGCAAGGTCTGTGAGAAGGCCGAGTTCGTTTGGGAGAAATCCGGCGATGTCGCCGTGGTTCAGGTCGATTCCGGCGACGACTTGAAGTTTTGGGTCGTCGAGAGATGGGGCACAGTATATTCCAAAGTAGCTGCAAACTGAAGGTCCCACCCAGTTGGTGGTGTAGTTTTTGGGGTCGGAGTAAATGACTTGTTTCCACGCCTGGAGGGCAAGGAAAGCTTGATGGAGTCTTGGGTTCGTGTCCGAAGATCGGGTACGGTGGTGGTGGTGGCTGTTATGGGTTGTGATGCCCTCAAGTTTAGCGGTTAGGCTGTTAAATAGAGAAGATAACTGGAGGAGTAACAAGATTAAGGCTTTGGCAGAGAAGGATGAGAATGGATAAGCCATTGTTTGGAACAGGTTTAAGTCTTGTGGGAGTGATTAGTTAGCTTCTTGGTTTATATAAGCAGCTGCATATTGCAGCTTAATATTCAGTCCAATGCTTAATCATGCTGTTTATGTCCAATAAGAAGCTTAATTTCTTATGGAGATGATAATGGAGGAAGAAAGTATTTTCCCAATGGCATATGTTTATTACAGCGACAGTTAACCGTTACGATTGGCCTGAAAGTACAGATTTTGAATGGGGTATTAAAGAAAGCTGAGAGAAGAGGGAACATTGGGTTTGATGAGGTGAAGTTTTCATTGAAGATCTATGGTTTATGGGAGAGCAACAAAATGGCTTAAAAAGCTTGATAAGGACTTCGCTCCTCACGGTTGTTTTCGCAGTTTGTTTGAAGTGGAACTCGAGAGAGACGGCTTCTTCAGACTCTTCTCCTTCATTTCTTGAGGTTTCTTGGAACTGAAGGGATAATTATATCATGGCTGTCTTTTGTTTTAATGGCTCTGTATTTACAAGACTTTGTTATTTGAATATCAGTTAGGAAAATTTTATGTTTCTTAAGGATCAAGTTAGTTCACTAAAGATTTGTATCCAAAGTTAAAATTTATGTATGATACATAGGTATCTCTCATCTGTTCACCTGTAGAGTTAAACGTGGATTTTAAGATAACAAATTCAACAGAGAATCTCTAAAACCATCATCGTCCTCATAAAATCATCGCAGAAATTGATCCAAAAGTTGGATTGTAAATGCATGTACGAGCTATATTCAATATTCAATGTTTAGTTTTGGGTTTGACTGCTGCTCGCAGAAAGCAAACTTGAATAATATTATAGAAGAAGCTAAGCAAGACAGTGTTTGAGACTGACAGTCTGCTAAAAACAGAGTGTCGATATGCCAAACGAATGAGCAATGCTCGAAATACAAACATTTCGGTTCGAGGCAATGACTATGGCTAAGAATTCTCGGATGACCAAAATTACATCTTCAAGCTCAAGCACAAACACATTCAGAATTTTGGCGATGCTTTGATAGAATGGATTCCTCCTAGTGACTCTACAGAAGCTGAAGGAAACATTCGTTCATTACAACTTATTCAGAAACTACACAATTTTTACTCACCCTGCAGTCTTTTCAAAAGCTCTTTTAACCGCCACCACCGGAACCGTATTTCTTGCCGAGAACAATGAGCTGGAGCTTATCGTACCCAGCCAGCACACCAGCACCGGCAACGGCACGCAAAATGTTTGCTCCAGCACCCTTGAAGAGAGATTTAGTACCCTCATTCTTGATGATTTGTTTGAATGCGTCCAAGGAGCTACTGTACTTGACGGCTTCTCCCGAGGTCATCATCATTCTTCTTCGGACGGTATCAATGGGGTAAGAGGCCAAACCAGCTCCTATTGTGATACACCATCCAAGCAAGAAACTAGCGAGAAAACTATCCTGTCAAATTGAACAAAACCCATGTTAATACACACATAGGGATGACTCCGGATATTACAGCAAGTGAAGAAAATTATGATGTTATCTTTTCAACAAGCAGAATATATTATATTTGAGTGTCATTGTTACGTCTAAAAATCACTACAGAAATCTAAAAAAACAAGTAAAACTAAGGGAAATAAATTTACCAACCTGCAAGTCGCCAACCAGAACCACAGGCTTCATAGAATCATACATTCCAAAGTATAGACCACGATACACAATAATTCCAACACAAGAGATGTTAAATCCACGATACAGCCCAGCAATGCCATCAGATTTAAGGGTTTTCTTGTAAACATCAACAAGACCGTTAAACTGCCTCTCACCACCTTTTTTAGCAGCCTTAGCATCATTAGCCAGACGAGTTCGAGCATAATCAAGGGAATAAACAAATAAAAGAGATGATGCACCAGCAGCACCACCAGAAGCCAAATTCCCAGCAAACCATTTCCAGTAACCATCTCTGTCTTTCTTGAAGTTGAACAACCTCTTGAAGTAATCCTTGAAGGCAAAATTCAAAGCCTGGTGCACCAGAAATTTCCAGAAGCTTCAGCATAATTCTTTTAACAGAAAAAAGGGAAGAAAAATCAGAAAAACAGAATCAAGGTGCAGAACTTCAATTAGCTGAGATTAAATGAGAAATACAGGGGGAAAATCATGTTAAAAAGTTTTTCACAATTGCACTTCTACTCCCATCCTACTACCCTACTAGGGAAGAAGGGTACACTGCAATGGCAAAATTATTTACTCGTATCTCTAGGGAAGGATATCCAAGCTTAAAAATAAAGAAGAATCAACACTTTCAGATGCGCAATTCATAGACAATCAGTGCACCAGTAGTGACACAGAGACCAAAAAAATCAAGAAAAACATGAGGATTTATATTTAAAAGAGAAATTATCTAAACAAAAGAAACAGACTTGTGTGGGGAAGTATCTGATAACGTTTGCAGTGTTCCCCCTCCATAGGGCAATGACTCCTTCATCTTTAATTGTTCGGGCAAAGCAGTCAGTAATTCCTTTGTATGGCTCAGATAGCCTACCGGCCTTAATCATTTCATCCTGATTTTGAATCAGCAGTTTGACACGCTCAATTGGAGCAGCAGCCGTTTTGGATACAGCAGCAGATACTCCTCCCATTAGAAAATCCACAGCAAAGCCGGCTGCACCTTTTTCAGAAGGAGCTTGTACAAGAAAATGAGTAGGTGAAACTCCAGCAAAGCCAGTCCCATAATAAGCCGCCTGTAAGGGACTCACCAGACCTCCATTCACATGTACACCTGTTGTACTGTAATTCCTGGTCTGAAAGCCAGGGGAAAGCCTAGAAGTGAGGTAAGAACGACCATATATCTTCTGAAACACTGATGGATGTTGTGACGAATCTGCCATTGTAGTGACTCAGACGGTGACCTACATAAGTGCCAGATAAATGTAAGAAAAACATGCTTAACATATCCCTCCATTTATACATAACACAAAGTGAAAACAAGAATTAATAAAAACATTCATTTAAAACTTTGTTTTATATATTAAAAACTAGACTACTCAAGCATGACCCATACAACTGAAAAACAATTTTTTAAGCGCAGAAGGCATTCATGCAACTAGCAGGAATACTTTCACTTATCTAATATAAACATCAAAAGCAAGAACAGCTAACTAGTCGAAGCCTTATATTCCAGTCACACACCCCATAAAGTGTGAACTGAAAACCACTGCTCGGGGGACATGAATACAAGCAACAGAAAATTTAATGTAACTTGTGAATTCTAAAGTACATTTGTTACTTCATGTCTCAAGAAATATAGTTAAACATTTAAAAACAATTAATGTAAGGGTTCTCTAGACCATATAATACAAGTACACAACAAACCCATGCCAACAGTTCAGTTAAGATATGCCAAATTTCCGAAAGCATACAAATGAAACCTAACCGCCACACCATTAGGATTCGACTTTTGAGATTCCTCACTCAGCACCAACCACATTTAGCACAGAAAATTATGATAAGGAATATACCAAGAAGCATATAAAACAGAGTAGAAGTAGAAATGCAACATATGTCAAACCATAAAAATGTAAAATACTAAATTTTGGTTTCCTATTCTCATTTCTCTATACAAAACCAAGGGGTAAGAGAAAGCAGAAATTCCACTTTTCAGAAGTACTAAGAGCACGCAAAACCT